TTTGAAAATTTCACAATGTTAAGGGTTACTCTTGTACTTTTAAAATTTTAAGATCCTCTTTGCAATTTTCGAAATTTGCATAATTTATTTTGCATTTTTCGAATTCTAAAAGACATGGTTTTAGTGGTCATTTAGAATTCTCGGCCTAATACTTTGTCAAAGTTTAAGCAAAACTGAGCAATTCCAAATTCTCTCAAGTATTTTTGCATTCAAACATTGGAACTGGCCCAATTCCATGAATTGAAATGAAATCCTCGTTCACAAACAGGGCACTAGAGAAATTTGAATTCTGTCAAAACAATGTGTGGCTGAATGTAAACTTTAATCGATCTTCTCATCCACAGCCTTCTTTTTCTTTCTGTCAAAACAATGTGTGGCTGAATGTAAACTTTAATCGATCTTCTCATCCACAGCCTTCTTTTTCTTCGAATTCAAATTTGTTAATCTGTTTAATAATCAGGAATGTTCCAAGTAAGCCAACGAAAAGTCCGCAAAAGACTAGTAAAGGTTTATAACTAAATCAAAGAATGCAAACAACTTCACTTCTACTACATGAGATATATGGAGTTGTTAGTCTGAAAACAATAAACTAGGAAAATAGATGCAGCTCATTCTTCATCAAATTTATTGTCTATCTCGCGCAATCACTTTGCTTTTCAGTTAAACGGAAGGATCCAGTTCATCCCTAACTATCACAATGCGATTGATTAGTATAGGGAGCTAGATTGCAAAACGTACTATCTTCTATTGTAAGTTCATCCCTTACTATCACAATGCCATCGATTGTGGAGAGCTAGATTGCAAAACATACTATCATCCATACCCCCACCGGCCAGTTGCACTTAGCACTCTGAATTTTTTATCTTTCGAGATGGACAAAATTTGCAGACAGGAAAATAGTTGAGGGGGTGATAAGTGTCACCAAAGACTTAATCAAAGATGTAAAAAGGTTGGGTAGTAGTGTGAGAACTCTGGTTGGCAAGTCAGCTCGGAAATCTAATGACAGCTCATCTGGGCATTTTATCGAACAGTTAAAGAGCACTTTAAATCAAAGAGAACAACTAATCATACCTTGAATGCTTGTATCTTTTGTCTGTGCGAAGCTCTCGAACTCGACTAGGCTGAGCTCTGCTACCAATTTTGGATGGATATTTTCGTATGGGCATTTTATCAAACAGTTGAAGTGCCTTCTCAGTTAACCATTCCTCAGATGGGCGCTTATATTGCTTGTACCGGCATTTTATGGAGCAGTTCAATAGCAACTTCGAACAGTAACTTGCGCTTGGGTTGGGGGTACATGAGGCTCAGTTGCTAATTGTTTGGGGTTTTCCATTATAGTCCACTAAATCTTTACTCTTTTGAAATTAGTCCCTCAAATCATTGAAAATGCCATCAAGTCCCGCAATTCTTATAACTTGTAATTGTAAGTATAGCGTTATAACATGTAAGTGTAGCGTAATAAACTGAAAGTGTAGTATGCTAACATGTAAGTGTAGCGTGATAAACTATAAGTGTAGCGTGACAACTTATAAGTACCTGATAACCACCAAAATCACACCCTACACATTAATGAAGTTGAGAATTAATTGATGGATTGATACGTGGGTGGGAATTAATTGATGGGTTTATAAGAGTGGAAGAATGTAATAATGGATGAGAGAGGGGAGTTAATAGAGAAGTGGAGAGAGAGAAA